AAAACACCCCTCCCTACAATAACCACTCCTCATTTCCACTTCTTTCTCAAGTGGTCAATTTTTTCTTTCATAGTACGTATCGAAATTGACATAGATCAAGAAGTTTGTATCCCCAAAAGCAACTCTGGTAAGAAATCGGCTCGATTTTCTTCTCATTTCTAACGCAATTTATGTTCATGTCCTATTTTCCATTATTTTTTTAATTTTATTTGAACATGTTGGATATTTGGCCAAAAATGTTTAAAAAAAAATTAGGAAGTTGTACTTTTTGTCTCTAATAGGTAGTAGGTTTGCCTCGATATTAGAATATACATGCCCATTGTGGTTTATTTTCTCATAAATTGAGTTATTGTAAGGGATTTAGTGTGTGCTTGGATGTATGTTGAATTTGTGGTTTATTAGAATACACATTTTCATTGTGGTTTATTAGAATATCTATGTTCATTGTAAGTTTAGCAATGTAGGTTGAATTTGTGAATTGATATGTTCAATTTGTTGATTCATAGCTTAGGTAATGTGGTTCGTTCTATGATCTTTCTATGGTTCATCTATGTTTCATTCTGTGGTTAATTTAATTTGTTGTAATGTGGTTCATTCTATTGTCCATGTGGATTAGAAAATCTTATTCATGTTTGCACATGAGGAGTTTCTTTAAAGTACAGACAAAACATCAATCGAGAAAACTAGACATTCTTGATAGATGGTTATTGAATTTTTCAACCGTTTGAAGGATTACTAGACAGTTATAATAAAATGAAAATATGTTTGAGTTGCTCCACTATGTTTCGTACGAATTCATTACATGTTAAATCATCATTTGACATTGAAATTTGTTCATGTTAATGGAGTTACAGAAGGGTTTCAAACTCCCTATACAGAGAATGGCCAGAAGAGATGGAAAAATAGTACGGAATAGGACTTCATTGACTTGAACAACTATGTGTTGCTTTTGGACTTATAATTTGTTGTATTATTTTTTATATCATGACATGTACGTCGAACAACTTATTTTTATGTTTGTTTAGTTCATGTTCATGTGTGAAAAGACATTTTTATTGTGTAGCATGTCAAACTATCCAGATATCATTTGTAAGAAATCGTTTGTGAATATGTTAGGTGATCAACGATACTATCACTAAATTCCTATTTTTTCCCAATTTGGATGACATTTCTAGCCAATTATCTAATCACTGAACCATGAAGTCGGTGATATTTTCAAATACATGGTTCCTTATGAAGATGACTTTGGTAATGATGAGTTGATTCGTAACATTCCATCACCCTAGGTCATTGTCATAAGTTCGGACAATGAGGATGAAGTTAGTGGGAGTAAAAGTTCAAATGTCGACAATGCTTAACGTAGGCAAATAATGCTTCATGTTGTCGGCTATATTTAATTTTTCTACTTTTATCAAAGATTATGTGTTAATATATAACTGTAATATTGTGTGTTCGATCAATCGTTATGTCCAGATATCTTATCTAGTTTACTACTTAATAGTTCACAATTAATGAAATCTTATGTTTCGTAAGAAGTAGAACCTTTTTTTGTACCTGAATAAAAGTTGCAACATTAATAACACGAAAATGCCAACATAAACAACAAACATCGTCATTGTAATGTACAAAATACAACTTCAAGCCTTAAATATCATTCAACTTTACGTGCTTGGTGTGGGAACGGGGTTCGAACATGTGACACGATTGTACCCAACTCGACCACATGTGATACAATGAATCTCATACTATTACTTGTACTTGAAAATTTGAGATATCAATGATAAGCATTCACCACAATTCATATATCGGACTTTAATATCATGCAAATGGAATCTACGAATAAATTATATCAAATAGTAGCAAATCGGTGAGATTGAAAGTTCAAATGTCTTTCCCGACATTTATTAAGTGTCGAGTTCGTCATTTTTACTATAGGTCTTCACATTCTAGTTCGGTAGTTGATTGTCGGTATTTATGATTAGCATCTGACGAGAAGCATTTAATGGGTTTTATTGGGATGCAATTTTCATAGCATTAAGTGTATTTAAGTGCTCAACTATCAAATGACAAAATTTTCACAAAAAATTTACAATGCTTGATTATCCTAGTGAAACAGTTGGTAATACCCCTCAAGTAAGAGATCTGCTACATTGCCAAGGGAAAGTAGAAAAATGAAGCAGGATTTGATTTTAAACTATTAATTGAGGCTGGCATCACTATCCATCATAGTGGGGAATGAATGGTCAAAATTCAAAAGAATTGGTAAATATTTTGTCAGCGAATATTATCTACTAAGACACAAACACACCACGCCAAAACCAGCCTAATTCATGCACTTTTCTATGTGCTCATTCAGCATCAAGTGTCAATTTTTAATGTAATTGACAACTACTTTTTAATAATAATTTCTCTTAAAATAACTCTACTAACCACAATTGTGTAAAACATGCCCTAATATAATTCTTAAAATAATCATCTAAGTCTGGCCAAAAAAGGTGGGAGGTCGGTAGTTAAAAAAATGAAGAGTTCAAATTTGTAGTTCAATCTTGAGTTGAATTGAAGGTATACAATTAACTAAATACATTGAGAGTCGAGAGAAAATTATAACTACGCTTATCCAGTTTCTATTATAAAAATAAAATACAAAAACACTTAAAACTAGCACACTTTATGCAAAAGGCTTTATTCACAATGGGGATAGGGACCACATTGTTGGAATTTTTAAATGAGCTTTGCTACAAGTACATCGGGGGTACATAAGGGTGTCCATAATGGACACCCGTCACCCCCTATTGGATGAAGTGCCGGTGGGGTCTGCATTTCATCCAATAAGGGGGTGTCGGGTGTCCATAATGGACACCCTTATGGCACCCCTAATGTACAAGTATCATTTTTCTTTTTAAATACACGCTGGTCCCGTGCATAATATGAGAGGGGGTAATCCATTATGTACAAACTATTATGTACAAATGGATTAACTCTACTTAAAATAAGGTACGTCAATTCATTTGAGTTGTTCACCTCTCAACGCTCGTGACACGCTATAAAAGTTTTACACCATGCTAGAAGACCAAGCAAGGTGTAGCTAGTGACATGGGAATCAACTCTATGCTAAGTGATCTCTTATAGAGATGTTCAACCTGGTCTATGTGATAGATGAGCAATGAAATTATAAGTCGATTAAATGTGTAAATATAAAACTTACTTTATTAATTTTATCATTTAATACCGTATTAGAGATAAATAACATTAATTACTTTATTTATCATATTTGTTTCATAGTACTCAAGTCAACATTCTTGGAAATGCTTAATAGCAGAAAATTCCCTATCGACTAGGCATTGTGCAAAAAATTCCCCATCCATTGAAAATAGAAAAAAGGTCCCTATTTGAAATTACTTGTGTGGAAAATTACCCTATTGTCATGTCCGTAAGTTCCGTCTTTAAATCACAATAAATAAGAGAGAAAAACTTAGAAAGGACAAACCCCTCCCCCACTTATTAGAATTGGCAAAATATCTTCTACTGTCTACTTTATCAATAAAAGATTGAAAATGATAGATATACCATCTTATTTAAATAATAATAATAAAAAAAACTAAAGAACATATTGCAACTATAGCCCTTATTTGAGCTCCATTTTGTCAATCAAAATATATTATTGAACAGCGATTTGACCTTATTTCAATTACACGTTTTTCAATAAAATAATATTACACGTAAATTTAAAATTTTTCCTTATTTTTAATCACACATTTTCCATCATAACACTATTATAAAATGCAATTTTTTTTTTTTGAAAAAAACGAGGTTCAAAAAAGCCCATAATTTCAAAATTTTAAAAAAAGTACGAACGAGTTACTTAAAATTTAAAATAAAAAAAAAAATCAACTTATCTTCCTCCCTGCCCCTTCTTCCCACCACCATCAGTCGTCGTCGTCGCCGCCGCCACTTTTTTTTATATTTTATATAGAATAAAATGCTCTTGATATGCATACAAATACACAAGAAAAGATCGTATACAGGAATTTGAAGTAGTTGTGCTGTCATTGGAAAATACTGCTTCCTGGTTTGTCCAGTAATAGCATCTTTTTTGACATGTATATATTAATTATCTTTTAGCCCAGTGCCTATATCTGTAGATTCGTATAATTGAACTAGTTTTGCTTTATTCGCACAATTCACAATTTAAAAAAAAAAATAAAAGTAAAAGGAATGTGCTTAACTTTCATTTAGCCTCCAATAAATTTTAATACATTTTTTTCTCTTTCTTCTCTTCAATCATACATTTTTTAAACAATTATACTATTTTTACAATCATATTTGATAATTTTGGTTGACAATGTTGGTATTGTCAAAATTCGGGCTATTCATGTAAAAAACAGTTTTCCAAATGGATGAATATGATATTGTCAAGTGTGAGTTGTCAATCAATATGTCAAATTAGATTGTACATGTAGTATGATTTATAATAAAATTATACTACACGTAAATCAAAAACTTTTCTTTCTTTTCGACCACCTCTTCTAAAAAATACACCGTTCGATTCTCATTATTGTAGAATGAGAATGAAAAAAATATAGTCCCTATTGGGTCCCACACAGGAGATAGAAATTCAAAATTGATTGTTTAATGTAATGAATAACGACCATATTTTATATTTTTATGGATGAAAAATGAGAAACCAACATAAGCAAAATCTCAAATAATGGGGCGGACGGGAGCTAAATAGAGCGCATGTGCAAGTATAACCGACAGATTCTCACTAAAGAAATCACTAAGCCTCTGTTTGTACTCACGCGCTAATCTGATGCGAGTATAACCGACAGACTCTCACTAAAGAAATCAAACAACAAGCTAAACGTAATTAAGAAATATTAAAAAAATCAAAAAAAATATTTTGTAATTGGATTTTCTCATAAAATATTTTATTTTCTGAAAAAGACATTCCAAGCTTTGTTCACTCCACAGACTCAGTTATACATTTCTCTCTCCCTCACATGCTTCTGCCTCAACTTTCAGTAACAAAACGCTGCGTTTTGGCTTTCTTCTTCCTCACATTCCTCTCTGAATTCTCTGTAGGTCCTTCACATTCGATATTTTTATTTTTTATTTTTTTTCCGGTTAAAAAGCATTGCGTTTATATTTAATTCAGTTGTTTTTATTATAAGAACAAATTTTTGTGTGTATACATGTTTATTTGACGCCGCAGTGTGGTTAAGCTGTTTGATTTTCGATAATTTGAGCTACTGACTATGTTGGCTGAGTCTGGATCTAGTTTATGTGATAATCACACTGTTTACTGATTTTCTTTTTGTTTAATTTTTTCGGATGGTGATACTTCATTTTCGTTTAACTGTTTTGGAGGGAGTTCGGGGGTCATTTGAGCTTCTTCACAAGTAAATAGTTTTGCTTAATTCTTGTGTTTTCTTTCTTTCTTCATTTCCTCTGATTTCATGTATTTATGAGAAATATGTTAGTGAGACTGTCCTATATGCACAAGTGGTAGGAATTGTTCATTCAAATCGCCATTCCTTTGACTCTGAACTACTCAAGTTACCTTAAATCGTACGGGTAAGAGAGAGAAAGGTGTGTGGCATTTTAGTTGCTTTGATAGTTTCGGGGTTTGAAGTGTCTTCATTTGAGTGAACGTTTGCATAGATGTCATTCCCACTTCCCAGTGAAGTATTTTTCGCTTTTTGAGAAGGATAATGATAGAGCTGAATTCCTGGAGGGACATTTATTCACGAAGTTCTTTTATGTAGACATGTAGTTTTTATTGAACTAAAGATTTTTATTGTTCCATTCACACAACTGATCTCGTTTATCTTAACAGTGAATGTCCTATGGGCACTTTAAATTCATTCACATGCTTCTGCTTTACGTGGTTATGAACTTGAGGTGTTTTATGATTTGATTTGATTGGGCACATTGCATTACTTTTAGGGAAGGAAAATACCCACATTTTTGGAACCATGGTTCTGGGTCTGAGGACCAAAACCAGGACAAACCCCTCTGTTCAGCTTGATTACATAATCCATATTCAGGAGATTAAGCCCTGGCCTCCATCGCAGTCGCTGAGAACGCTTCGTGCCATTCTGATTCAGTGGGAACATGGTGATAGGAAATCGGGGTCTACTAACCAAGTTATTCCTTCACTTGGGACTGGGTCTGGTGTTGGTGATGGAAGAATTGAATTCAATGAGTCTTTTAGGCTACCTGTGACATTGTTCAGAGAAATGTCCGTTAAAGGTGCGGAGGGAATTGTGTTGGTGAGTGAAGAATTGAATTCATTGTGTCTTTTAGGCTACCTGTGACATTGTTCAGAGATATATCCGTTAAAGGTGCGGAGGGAAGTGCTTTTCAGAAGCATTGTGTTGAGTTCAATCTTTATGAACCTCGGAGGGATAAGACGGTAAAAGGTCAGCTTCTGGGAACTGCTATTCTGGACTTGGCAGATTATGGCGTTGTTAAAGAGAGTTTGAGAGTTAATGTTCCTATTAACTGCAAACGAACATATACGAACACTGTACAACCACTTCTATCCTTAAAAATCCAGCCTGTTGAGAAGAGTAGAACAAGCTCCTCCTCACGGGAAAGCTTAATTGGGGAAGCTTCAATGGACAGGAATCATGGTGAATCCGTTTCCGCATTGATGGGTGAAGAATATGCTGAAGAAGCTGAGGTTGCCATGTTTACAGATGACGATGTCTCCTCGCACTCGTCTCTGGCAGCTTCTTCTGGAGTTGAATCAATTGGATATTCATCACCTCAAAACAAAGAGGTATCATTGTTCTAATGGGTTCTTTATTTTCTTGTACTATCTTTCATCATTTCTCTGAAAATTCTTTTTGCTTACAATTTCTTGAATATCTTGATAACATGCACCGTCACGAAATATGCATATTTCTTTCACGTACTAAGTAAACTTCCTGTGGATAACAGTCTAACATGCTATTGGTATAAGCATGACGTGATTTTCATTTGACTAAAAAGTTTGCTGTTTTTCTTCATTTAGTTCTCTTAACATAGTGCACAATAGACTCATAGCAAGATGGTAATTAATGGCAGAACATAACGGTTGCTGTGAATGGGAGTGCTGGAGAGGTAACTCTAGACCTTGTGCCAAATTCAAAACAGTATATTGCCAAATCAGATGAGCAAGGGACTGAGTGTCATGTGAATTCTAAAGGCAGTTCATCTCATTCCTCATCAATAGATTTATCTTCTGATCTTTCATGGATCTCGAAGAAAATTAGTGCTCAAAGTTTGCTGTCATCAGCTTCTGGAGGACCAGAGAAAGAGAAGACCTCCAACAATAACCTTGAGATAGAAGCAGCAGAAGAAGCAGACAACGAGTGGAATCCCAACATGAAAATCAACAACAATGAAAAACAAACAGATAATATTGAGGAAGATGTTGTCAATAGTGGAAGTGATGAAAAAGTTCAACAAAGCGACAAAGAAAGAATATTTAGCCAGCCTAGTGCTGAAAAAACCCGTTCAGATTTAGATTATCGGACAGGTGAAAATTTGGACTTGGTTGAATATTGCAAAAGTCATGGTGATGATAATGCTTCATCTCCTAGCATAGAAGATCCTGATGAGGCTGGACGAGCTAATGTTGTAACACAAAAAGGTTCTGCAGAGGGTGAGACCAGAGAGACACATCAAGAATATACACAAGAAAGAGAGATTGTGGAAGTGCAAGGACAACACATTGAAGATAAGCCATTGAATGGCTTTTCTCAAGATAATGTTAACATGCAATTCATATTGAAAAATAATGTGCTTTCTTCTAGTAAAGAGAATCTCGCAGTTAAGAGCAATTTCTTAAATACTGATAGATCAAAGCATGGAAAGTCTGTACGATCATCAATAGACTTAAACAGGAGCAATGGATTGGCCCGGAGCAATCATATAGGAGACACTCACAATGATACTCGTGGATCTATGAGCAGTGAGCGAAGAGATGCTGATGTCTTAACAAAGGAAACAAGAAACCCATTTTCAGACAGTAGAATTCAGCATTTGGAACACAGAATAAAGATGCTAGAAGGAGAATTGAGAGAAGCTGCTGCTATTGAGGTTAGTCTTTATTCGGTGGTTGCAGAGCATGGAAGTACAATGCCTAAAGTTCATGATCCAGCTCGACGCCTCTCCAGGCTCTATCTCCAAGCCTGCAACCACAAATCTATGGAAGTTCCATGACTAAAGTTCACGCTCCAGCTCGACGCCTCTCCAGGCTCTATCTACATGCCTGCAAACAAAAATCAAAATCAAGGAGAGGAAGTGCTGCGAAAAGTACTGTATCGGGATTAATTTTAGTTGCAAAAGCGTGTGGAAGTGATGTTCCAAGGTATGTTTTTTCACCCAACATCCAAGTTCAAAAGCATGTCAAGCTCTTTCATTGAGCTTGATAGTGCAGCAAATATTAACATTAGCTCATCCGGCCTTCTTCGTTTCTAGGTTTAATTTTTTGGCAGAGTTCATGCAATTGTTTGCTAATTTTGTAAATCCGAGGTTTCTAGCATTTATTATTTCTCGAATGCAGCTTTGCTTGGTAATCTATATCCTGCTACTGCCAAACAGGTCATTGTTGAAGTTTCCTTGTGAATGCCATCTAGTTGTGTGTGTGTGTGTTGTATAACTGGTAATTGGTCCTAAGTGGGTTTGACTTGTAAATATTTGCCAGACGATTGATTAATTGCATACCTAAAGCCACTCCAAATAGAGACTCAAACTATATATTTTTTTTCTTACAGAACATAAACTCAACTTTTTTTGTTGATTGCAATTTATCCTATCTAATACTTCTTTTTTCTTTTGCTTAATACAGATTAACTTTCTGGCTGTCAAATTCTATTGTTTTGAGAGCAATCATTAGCAAATCCTTTGGCGAAAATCAGTTTCCTACTTCTGTTGGAGCAGCCGTTGGAATGGAAGATGACTGGAATTGGAACAAGAAATCATCGTCACTTCAGTGGGGCTCTGTTTCCAGCAGGGGTATAACAAGTGCTATTGAGGAAAACTTCAGTGACTGGGAGAACCCTCTTATATTTTCAGCTGCACTTGAAAAGGTTGAAGCATGGATATTTTCCCGAATCATTGAATCTATTTGGTGGCAGGTACTCTTTTTATTCTTTTAATTGATTCGACAAAATTCTAAGTGAAATACTGTGTCAATGGAGTGTGATCTCATTAAGATGCTTAGGTTTCTCGAGACTAATAATTTCATCTGGGAATATGTTAATTCTGACTGAAATGAACCTATTAGTAGCAAAGTTGATTTTGTGTCTCTTTCCTCCAGACCTTCACTCCGCATATGCAGTCTGGGGTTGCAAATGAAATTTGTAGAAGTATGAGTTCCGACTCGATCAAGTTCTATCGAAGGACGTCTAGTTCAGGTGACCAACAGCAGGAAAATTTTTCTTCTGAACTCTGGAAAAAGGCCTTCAGGGATGCATATGAAAGGATTTGTCCTGTTCAAGCTGGAGGGCATGAGTGTGGCTGTTTGCCTGTCCTTTCTAGACTGGTACAACTTCTAGATATTTTCCTTCACCTTGCAAATATAGAGGATCCAACTCTTTTTCTTTTTAATGAGTAAATATGTGACATAACCCTGGAAATATTTAGTAGCTGCATTGCCCTAAAGTTTGCAAAGCTCAGGCAGTTCTCAAAAAATTCTGTAACTAGGAAGCGCAGAAGCTACCTTAGTATTAAGATTAAAAAAACCAGTGTATAAGTATTCCACGATGAAATTGATTGTCCACATTTGTCAGGAAAAGATACACATATTTTATACTCGATATCTTGGTGCACTCTTCCGGCTTGCAAAATTATAGCATATGTATTAGTTAATGATGAATCATCTGACAATATCTACGGACTTAGATTCATAGATCTATGATTTGGTTGTGTAGTTTGCAAAACCTACTTTTCACATTTAGTAAATTACCTATAAACAAACCACTGTTGTTAACCAGATAATGGAGCAATGCATTGCTCGACTGGATGTGGCTATGTTCAATGCAATTCTTCGTGAATCTTCCAATGAAATTCCAACAGATCCTGTAGCCGACCCTATTAGTGATGCTGAAGTTCTTCCTATTCCAGCAGGGAAAGCTAGCTTTGGGGCTGGTGCACAATTGAAAAATGCGGTGAGCATCACAACCAAATTGTCTTCCTCATGATGTAGGCAATATGCAAATAGAAATCTTTAATTATTTTTATGATTTAAGTTTGACTAATGATTCTGAAGAAAATATTTATCTACAAATGACAGATCGGGAACTGGTCCAGATGGCTAACTGATCTCTTTGGTATTGACGATGACGATTCACTCCAAGATGAGAATAGCTCAGATGCTGCTGAAGACGATGAGAGAAAATGTAATGATGCATCGATGAAGTCTTTCCATCTCCTCAATGCATTGAGTGATCTCATGATGCTTCCAAAGGATATGTTATTAAGTCGCACAGTCAGAAAAGAGGTTTAGCTGTGGCTTAGTTACTGTTTTTCATTATCTTGTAGGCATATAATAGTTGAGTTATTATTTACATAATNCTTGTAGGCATATAATAGTTGAGTTATTATTTACATAATCTCTTCTGTGTTCCTAGGTATGTCCCATGTTTGGTCCATCACTGATAAGAAGGGTTCTTAACTCTTTTATGCCGGACGAGTTTTGCCCTGACCCAATTCCTATAGTTGTACTTGAAGCCCTGAATTCAGAGGTTTGTCCAATGCTGAAGAATCATATTATTTCCTTTTTGTTGCTTCTCTACCCTAAAAACATAAAGTTTCTAGACTTCGAGCTCACCTGTATTTTTCTTTTAAGGATCCTTTCGAGGCAGAGGAAGCTTCCATTGTGAACTTCCCGTGTGCCGCAGCACCTGCCAGTTACCAGCCACCATCAGCTGCTTCTGTTGCTGGTATCCTGGGAGAAAGTGGTAGCCATTCTCACCTGACACGGATTGGGTCATCACTTCTCAAGAAATCATACACGAGTGATGACGAGCTTGACGAATTAGATTCACCTATGACATCTATCATCGACACACATTCGCCAAAGCCGAGCTGGATATCAAAAGAAAATGGAAGCCGAAATGCTGTCAGGTATCAACTCCTCCATGAAGTATGGACGAGCAGCGAGTAAACATTAAGTTGAGCGTGTTGAAGAAATTAAATCAAGTGTGGGTCGATATAAAAGCACTGTAAGAATCTGAGTCGATATGCATAAGAGCTGCACATTATCTAATTTTATATAATAACGTTTAACCTGTTCTGATACAGATGTGAACACTTGTACTGACTTTGAGATGTATAAATTGTAGGGTTTTCCTTTTATCAATTTTTCTGTTTTTCTACGTAGATATCATTTTTCGTCATCTTTCAATCATTTTTTCTTGGAAATGCAGAGCTAGGCACCCAAATACTAACAAAAACCTCCTTAGCTGCCCCCCTCCCCAATTGGGCTGCTAAATTAAAATATATGGTTTTGAACCAATCCAAACAATTAAAAACTTTAAAAAAAAATGAAAATCTAAATTTCAAAGACAATGGGTCCAATTGAACTTGACAATCTAAACTTGTTCGATTGATTACTTGACATGTAAAATGGATTTAATAAGTTCAAATATCGGCTCACAAACACCACTATTATTTACTATAAATTTTTACATTAATCTAACATCAATCTTATTTAAAATAGTAACCAAGTATCAATTTAATTTAATTTATATATATATTTATGTACTAAATTACACTAAGAGCATGTTTGATTGACATGAAAAATATATTTTAGAAAAGAATATTTTTGTTTTTTGAGGAAAACAAAAATTCATTCCTCTCAAAAAATGTTTTCCTTAAAAAATAAGGAAAATTAGGCATATTTTTAAAAGTTGGAAAATACTTTCAATGGAAAAAAAAAAAAAAATCAAACATTTCAAAGTATGAATTTGGGTCGAAAACTGATATTTTCCATAGAAAATAAATGTAATCAAACACACCCTAACGTAATCTACTTATATAACTTTTGAGAAGATTATGAAATTGAATGGTCAGAATTTTCGATTTCACTTGTATTGTTTAACATTCATCTAATTCCAATTCATTCAAATCCTTTTCGTATGTGTCAGCAATCGAATTAACCTATCATAGCTATTGATCTCTCAAGCAAAACTAACCATATTCATACGTCTTAATTTACTATATAAGATATATAAATTCATTGGAATACTTTAACCTACAGGATTTACACCTAGATTGCATAACTTATAATTATATCTCGATCCCTTATAATACCTATGTTATTTATTACATGAGCTAGGTTAATACATCACCTCTTAGTCCCACTATTTTCCCTAAATCAATCAATTGATGCATAAACAATTTAAAGAAATTAAATTAACAAGAAATAATTAACTCATATTCGAGTTGCATGAAATATTGGAAGTAAATAAATATTAAAAAGAACAATCTTCATCAAACACCTCGAGGGCAATGAAAAGCTGATGTAGTTAACAATTATCGTATGTATTAACATGTAATTTACATCGAATCTCAACATATTATCCAAGAATCCAAGCCCTTACTCCCACTTTTATCAACACCCATAATAATAAAAAGAACAATCTTCATGATTTTATTTTTCACAAAAACTAGGGATTTGATTTCTCACTTTCTTGGAGATTCCAAAATAGAATTGTAGATGGATTGAATGATGCTCAAGTAAGGTGTAATTGAGATTTGAATCTTATCAATGAAAGATTTTGAATTTTGTTTTTTTTTTTTTTAAGTTGGAAGAGAAAATTTTGTGAGAAGGGTTTTGGAAGATAGTTTAAAGAGATTGGGGAAGAGTGGAATGAGAAGTTTTAGTTGAACCAATCTCCCATTTTTTAAGATTAAGAAAATATAAGAAATATAAAAGAAAAAATTTATAAGAGGGAGGACGGGGACTGTGGCAACTGCAATTTTCAAAGCCGCGACAACAAGTAGGGATTAACATGGGACTGCGGCTTACTGAGGTTAAATTTTACTATTATTGTTATTTTTAATTCAAATTAAATAAGTTGAATTGTGGCCGACTACAGTTTGCATAGCCACGGTACATTTGTGTGAACCGTAGCTTACTACAGTCACCCGTAATTTTTTTTTTAAAAGAAATGAAACCTACGCTTCGGAGAATGAAAACCTCATGTTTAAAGCAATTTCTACACCATAATTAAAGAGTCCAAGATTAGAGAATGAGTTGCTTCCCATTAAATGCTTAATTTATCGTCTTGAGCTCGACTGTTGTGGTGATCATTTTGGTTCGTCTAGGATGATCGACAATTTTTCTTTTGAAAAATCTCTCCTTTCAAGTATCATTTGAACAAATACAACAGCGGGAAAGAGTGGCATCTAACTTCTTTGCCTAATAATTTTTTAATGCATTTACTATTGTCTCCAGGACACGTTTGATCTCTTAGTTTGAGAGCAATGCGATGTTTAACTCCATATTTTGTTAGAACTAAACTCAATATTTGATTGCAATAACGCTTGCCATGGTCACTAATGAGTGTCATTGGTGTTCCAAATCGACTGAAGAATTTTTCTTCAAAAAATTTATTACTACTCCAGAATTATTGGTTGGTATAGCAATGGTTTCTACACACTTGGAGACGTAATCTCCCAACACCAATATGTACTGACATGCATATGAGGATGGGAATGGTCCATAGACATAGATGTAAAACTCAAAAACTTAATTTCTTGCACTTCAATATTCAATCCGAGCTCTGAAACTTCAAATCTTGTTGTAGAATCCCTTGTTCGCATCTTACTAGACTTCTTCAATGATAAAAACAAGCCCCATACGTTCTGGACGTCCCTTAGAAGGATGTAACAGATCACATACCAAAACTCACCGAATAAAAAAAAGGATACATAATTTTCTTCTCAGTTTTCTTCAAGGCGCACACCTAGTTATTTATGTTTGCGTCTGGGTGACTGAGGGCTGTGACGATTTTTTTTTTTTTTTAAAGGATTTGGTTGATGTGAATGTTGTTCTTTTGACGGAAAATTATATTATGACTAAAATTGATTGGTATATTTCTGTAATTTTGAGATTCTTATCACATAATAATGTGCACAGTGTCAGTTAACCACCTGAAATGGATGGATATATATGTACATCTCAAAGTGCAAATTCTTGTGATTTCTCCTAGATCCATTCACCTTTCTTTAAGTGTTTATCTTCATTTTATGAATATATATAAGTGATAGAACCGCTAAAAATTATGGAAGTCCAAACAACTGTTGTGTTTACTTATGATTCAAGTTTGTAGTCTCATTGTCTTGATGACCTTGATCTTTGTTCAAATTGATTGCATTTCTTATTACAGATCTGCTAGATCCTTCATCTTTGTTTTTAGATTTGGCTCTCTTTGCTTTACTTTTGCATTTCCATTGTTCTAACTTTCATAGACTTTTAAGCACAGTGAAGAGTCAAAAAGAAGTTATCCAAATGTTGAATCATCTTTGTTGTTGATATTACTTATTTGTTGAAAGTTCCTGAGATTTCGTAGGTGTACAGATCATGTCAAGTAATAAAGTGGATTTATTAAATCTGAATATCGTCCTACAGAGACTACTATTTACTATAAATTTTTAAACTAACCTAACTTCAATTTAAATTAAAGTAGTAACTAATGATAAAATCTAATTTTGTTTTCTAAGGGAAATTCTAATAAATAAAATAACAAACTATTAAATAAAATAACAAACTTAAATTAAAACTGTAGATAAGATTATGTGACTGGATAGTTAGGATTTCTGATTTCACTTAGGTTACTTATCATACTTTTAATTTCAAGTCATTCAACCATTTTTTCATACCAGCTAACGATCGAATTAACATATTGTATTTAGTGATCTCTTTCGAGCAACACTAGTCATATTCATATGCCCAAACTTACTATATCTCTATATAAATTCACACACATATGAACCCATTAATCTTATGAATTCAACAAAGATCGCATAGCTTCTAATTATCTCTAGATCTCTTATAATGTCTATGTCAATTATTGCATGAGCTAAAATTATATATCATTTATCGGTCTCGATATTATCCATAAATCAATTAATTATTGCGCAAACAAATAATAGCATTAAACACAAAATAATTAATTAACAAGTATTAAAATGGCATGAAAATCTTAAAATTAAACATATAATAAAAATCTTAAACTACATCATCAATCCTAACAATAAAAGTATTTAGTCATTCATAATATTAAATTTAAACAAGCAAAAGTGGAAATATATCACCAAAAATTGACGAAAC